CGTATTAATTGTGTATTTAGTGAGTATTATTTATGTGTTGCTTTTTGACACGAAAAAATTTGATATAAAAAAATAAGCAACACAATAAGCAGTAAATACACAGCATTCGAACGCGTTTGGATTACGTATAGAATAATTTCTCGAAATATGATGGGCCCTTAATGATAAATTCATTATTGATCTCTTTTATTCTTTGAATTGATTTTTTATCATATATGAAAAAAATTGAAGGATTACCTTTTAGAGAAGAAACAAGCTTGCTTCATTTGGGACAAAAACACGCAACTGTTTAGTAAAATGTCTTGAATTGCAAAATTTTATATTAAAAAACTGCTTTATGAAGCTATCCCAAAACGAAGCCTTCGCTCATATAAAATAGTAAGTTTAGTAGCAAGGGTTCTGGTGCTTCAGTAGCAAACAGGAGCCAGAAATTTAGGGAGAGTGGATAGCTTATTTCATTCACATTAATGATGTTAATGACTTCATTAATTACAATGAAGAAGAAATTTATAACTCCACTGGTGCAAACAATAAGATTCAAATATGTTAATTTTCATAGCATTGCAGATGTCATGATGATTTGTGATTGGTCATGTTAATTGATGCATATATGTGACTAGAATTTCTCTGTAATTATCATAAGAAAATTCAAATCTAACACAAAATGTAGGATAGAGAATCTGGACGGTTCCCTAGTCCAAGGCAAATTATTATGTCCGGTGTTTGGATTCGTCCGGACATCCAATCCAGATGCGCCACGTCACCCAAATACACTGGGATCCGGTGTATTTGGGTGACGTGGCACGTCTGGATTGAATGTCCGGACGTCCGATGACCGGACGTAATAATTCGCCCTAGTCCAGACTCCACCCGTAATAATCTCTCCTAGAATGAGACACTTGGAAAGAGAGAGAGAGAAGCCATCAGTACAGATAGAGAGAATCAAGGATAATTTCTAATTTTAACACATAATCCAATAATCTAAATACTAACTGTTCAACTCCAATTTATAGAATAAAATTATTAGAAAATTTAATTTGAAATCAATTCTAATTCAAATCTAGATACTCCTTTAAAAAAAATCCTAATATATAATTTAAAACTAAAAAAGTTGTCCCAAATAAAATCTTTTAATGAAATAAAGTTGAAATAAATTCTAAAAATGATCTTCTTGAAGTGCATCAAAATTACTTCAAAAAATAGTAACCAAAAGAATTTAATTACAGCTCATATATAAAATAAAAAAGGGAAATCAACTTAAGATCCTAAAAATGACTAATAAATATTGTGTAAAAAACTAAAAAATGGAACACAATAAAACTCTATGACAATAGAACATTTCTCCTTAAAAGCAAATACTATACTCTGCATGTCAATGTTCATACTTATTGATCAAAACATAAACTCATTGAGAAAAAAACAAAGGAAATGGATGGAATTGAAGCTTCCTTTCCTTCCAAATCCAAAATTTTATATATGAGTGGAAGAACTTAGGCACCAAAACATAATACAATATTCTAAATTTAAAATTTATCAAATTATCACAGATAACAAAGCTTGTGCCTATCTAAGATATGAATACCAACATCTTAAAGCCCGTAGATAACAAAAGATCATTCAAATGAGCTAAAATGGGGCTCTCCAATCCCTTAAATTGAGTAAAAAATGACCCTAAACCTTCCTAAGGCTGAGCTAATCTTGCAATATCTAAAAGCTGAATTCTTATATTGAGAATAAATGAAGAAGAAGAGTGAAGTTGTTACCAGGGGTTTCTGTTGTGATCTTTAAAGAAGCAGCTGGGAAGAACAATATAAGAATTCTCGTTTACCTTCAAAACAAATCAAACAAGGAATCGAAATTATCATTATCAGTTTCTGATTTCTTCTGATGATGTTTACGAGAGCCATATGTCCTTTTTGATCTTGTAGATTCTGCAGGAAAATCAAATTTCTCATCTGTATTGCTTTCATTCCAGTGATCTAAGCTATCCAATGAAAAGGAACTTCTGTTTGTTGAATTCTGATCAAGAACAGACTGGTAGGGCTTTGAAAATTTGTTTTTTCTAGGACTTCCCTGGCTTCTAAATCTCCCATTATTTCCATACTGGGCATGAACAGAGTCATGAGATTGATTTCTGAAACTATTTTGAGAATTTCCATTAGAGTTTAACTTTCTGAATCTCCCATGATTTTCATACTGTGAATTATCGGATTCAGGAGATTGATTTCTTGAGTAATCTTGAGAATTTCCATAAGAGTTGAACTTTTTAAATCTCTCATTATTTCCATAACGTGAATTATCAGAATAATAAGATTGACTTCTGAAGTTACTTTCAGAGCTTCTATAATTGTTAGGCTTTGGGGACCGTCTATAATTTCCATATTGAGCATTATCATCCGAGCCATCTTCGGACAGCCAAGAATTATCATCATACCTGTCAGAGCTCCTTTTTCCACCTTCACCAGTAATGCCTCGCAGCTGCAAATAAGAAAGGAATTCAGTAATAGAAGTTTAGCTCATTCTAGAAAAAAAAAAAACAAAAACTATACTTCTCACTTTAGAGAACTTGGACTTAAAATTTAATATTGTATAAACAGGAGCATTTGATAATTTTAATAAGCAATTAATTATAATTGTCAGTTGATTTTTTTTTCTTCCATGTCTATGAACTCCTCAAATTGAAACGTCACTGAACTAGTCGGTGCTGGGACAGGACCTGTTGGTGAGATCCCACCAAGAAAAGTCCAGGATCTCCACATAACATTTTTTTTTGCTTCATCAACCTAGGTAATTTGATATACTGAACAAAACCTAGTATTTAATAGGAATATACAAAAACTCCTAGTAAATTGTTAAACAACGGTAAAATTTTCATTTTTTACATTCTTCATCTCAAGCATGGTTTAAAATTGCGCAATATGAGGCTCGCCTTGAGGCTCGCCTTGAGGCCCGCCTTTGCGCAATTCCAATAAAAAACGTCTCAATGCTTACGCATCGAATTTTTTTTATGAGGCTTGCGCCTCAACTTGGTTGAGGCCCGCCTCGCCTCACTGGCATGAGGCTTACGCCTCACGCTATATATATTAAAACTTACATAAATATTGAATTAAAAAAGAAAGTTAAAGTGGCAACTCATTGTAGATGGATTGACGAGACCAACAGCATGAGAAGAAGAGAAAGTCACAGTGGGAGCTTATAGGACGGCATTGATGGGACTAGCATTACTTGAAGAAGAAGAAGAAGAAGAAGAATAAGAATAAGAATAGTTTGTGAGACTTGTGAGGCCTAAGGATTAACCTAAAATGCCAAAAATGGGTTTTAGGTTTAAATATTTATTCTAATCAAGACAACTTGCAAGTCAACAAGCCAAGTCTTATCAAGCTCAAACGCAAGCTTATTTAATACATGAGCTATAATTTAAGCTCAAGCTTGACTTTACGACTTGATAAACTCAACTCACGAGCTTATTAACCAATCAAATTTCTCAATCCACTTACACCCCAAGGTGGGGCTGGTCATCCCCCTCAACTAGGCTTTAATTTTCAATTTGTACGGATTTAGAATTCCTGAAACAAGGAGATATGTTATTTTGTTTCCTTATTTTGAGATTTATATTGATTCCATATTCTGAGATTTGTTTCCGTCAATATGTGTTTCTTTTTTTTTCCATGATTATACATACCTTTTATGTCAATCTAAACTCCCTCGGGAAATAAACCAACCAAGTTTATTCATCCTAACCAACCCAAAAATGTATAGCCAATTCCACTCTTTTGTTAGTTTTTCTCTAGAAGACCTTCCGGTAACATTTAAAAGCTGAATCATACAACACCCTTCATGAAAAAAATTGATCCCTTCAATGAATCTTCTCGTTGCTTCCAACGACAACTTCTAATTGGAAAGGGATGGTGATATGCCAAGGGGGGGCCACAATTAGGTCGGGGGACCTATTATTCATTATGTAAGGCATTAAGGGGAGCTATTTAGGAATGTTACTAATCAAGAGGGAGCTGTTTAGAAAGTTCTTAATTAAGGGAAAGCTATTTAGAAATGTTCCTAATTAAGAAGAAAATATTTAGGAATGTTCCTAATCAAGGGGGAATTGTTTAGGAATACTCCTAATCAAGGGGAGCTATTTAGGAAGTTCCCAATTGTGTTTATGCAATTTAGGAAGGATTTCTAATGGTGTTTATGGTATTTAGGAATGTTTTCTAATTGTATTTATGCTATTTAGAAAGGATTTAATTATTTAGGAATGCTTCATATTTGTGTTTATGCTGTTTATGAAGATGTTAATTATGTGTATTATATGTTAGGGCTATTTAAGAGGGAGTTTGATCTAGGATTTTTAGCTTATATTTTGCTGAAATTTATTCTAGGATTTGTTGTGAGTTTCCTAGCAGTGTCTGGGGCTTGTGGGAGAGCTGATCTGCCTCTCGAATGGTAGATCACTTGTATCTTTCATTATTGTTGAAGAGATTATAAAAAATCAGCCCCTACCTTCGTGATCTTGCATTTTGTTTCTTCTCTATTTTGCTATTTTTGCTTTCAAGATGTATCAAATTGGTACCATAACACTTTTTGGAGATCTGTGACGACTAAGAAAGTGGATGCTTTGAAAAATAAATTAGACAAGTTTACCAACTCAAATATGAAGTTGAGGAATGGTTTTCATCCATAGAAGGAATGCTTTCTCCACATAACATTATTTTTTGCTTCATCAACCTAGGTAATTTGATAGACTGAACAAAACCTAGTATTTAATAGGAATATACAAAAACTCCTAGTAAATTGTTAAGCATTGGTAAAATTTTCATTCTTCATCTCAAGGAGTTCATTGAAGAAGGATCTACAAAACTAATGATACGAGAAGAGGAAGTCGAGAAAAGAACTTGCCCGAGAAGGATCGATGAGACCAACGACTAGAGAAGAAAAGAAAGTTAAAGTGGCAACTCATTGGAGATGGATTGACGAGACCGACGGCGGGAGAAGAAGATAGTGGGAGCTTATAGGACAATGCATTGATGGGACTAGCATTACTTGAAGAAAAAGAATAGTTTGTGAGACTTTTGAGGCCTAAGGATTAACCTAAAATGCCAAAAATAGGTTTTAGGTTTAAATATTTATTCTAATCAAGCCAACTTGCAAGTCAACAAGCCTAGCCTTATCAAACTCAAACTCAATCTTATTTAATATATGAGCTATAATTTAAGCTCAAGTTTGACTTTGCAGCTTGATAAATTCAACTCACGAGCTTGTTAACCAGCCAAATTTCTCAATGCATTTACACCCCAAGGCGGGACTGATCATCCCCTCAACTAGGCTTTAATTTTCAATTTGTAAGGATTTAGAATTCTTGAAACAAGGAGATATGTTATTTTTTTCTTATTTTGAGATTTATATTGGTACCATATTCTGAGATTTGTTTCCTTCAATATGTGTTTCTTTTTTTACCTTGTTTATACCTTTTATGTCTATCTAAACTCCCTCAGGAAATAAACCAAGCAAGTTTATTCATCCAAAACCAACCCAAAAACGTATAGCCAATTCCACTCTTTTGTTAGTTTTTCTCTAGTATAGACCTTCCGGTAACATTTAAAAGTTGAATTACAACATCCTTCATGAAAAAAATTGAGCCCTTCAATAAATCTTCTCGTTGCTTCCATCAACAGCTTCTAATTGGCAAGAGATGGTGATATGCTAAGGGGGGGGCCCACAATTAGGTCGGGGGAGCTATTTTCATTATGTAAGGCATTAAGGGGAGCTGTTTAGAAAGATTGCTAATCAAGAGGGAGCTATTTAGGAAGGTTCTTAATTAAGGGAGAGCTGTTTAAGAAGGTTCCTAATTAAGGAGGAAATGCTTAGAAATGTTCCTAAACAAGGGGGAGTTGTTTAGGAAAATTACTAATCAAGGGGAGCTATTTAGGAAGTTCGTTATTGTGATTATGCTATTTAGGAAGATTTTCTAATTGTGTTTATGCTATTTTGGAAGATTTTCTAATTGTGTTTATGCTATTTAGAAAGGGTTTAATTGTTTAGGAATATTACATATTTGTGTTTATGCTGTTTACTTTGTTTAGGAAGATTTTAATTGTGTGTATTCTGTGTTAGGGCTATTTAAGGGAAAGTTTGATCTAGGGTTTTAAGCTTATATTTTGCTTAAATTTATTCTAGGATTTGTTGTGAGTTTCCTAGCAGCATCTAGGGTTTGTGGGAGAGCTTATCTGCCTCTCGAATAGTAGATCACTTGCATCTTTCATTATTGTTGAAGAGATTATAAAAAATCATCCCATATCTTCGTGATCTTGCATTTTTTTTCTTCTCTATTTTGCTATTTTTGCTTCCAAGACGCATAAAATTGATATCAGAGCACTTTTTGGAAATCTATGAAGGCTAAGAAAGTGGATGCTTTGAAAGAGAAACTAGGAGAAGTTTACCAACTCAAATATTAAGTTGAGGAATGGTTTTCATCCATGGAAGGAAGGCTTTCTAACCTAGAGGATATGATGAGAAAAATATAGAAACTTCACACCCAACTAACATCGTAGATGAGAGCACCGTTGATCGAACAAGGAAATGAGGAAAATCCTAATATAGGGATGATGAGGAAAATCACGGAGATGCAATCTAAAACTCCACTGGCAGTTTTGATTGTTAACCCTAACCAAAATTTGACCGGAATTCTCTTCACCAAATCTAAGGGAAAAGAGATCAGATGAAAGAAGTTTGATGAAGAGAGTTTTTTTTATCAAAAGCCACCTCCTAGGGCTCCAATAAAGGGGGATCAAGATTTCCAAATAGGGGTACAACAAGGAGTAAATTTTGTGGTGGAGGTGGTGGGGTGGCCGACCACTATAGGATGCATTTTAAGCAAGGGGAGTGAGCGATCAGAGATGGTGGGGGTCGAGTTGAGCCATGGGGATCAGGTCATGCAAGGAGGGTGGAAGAAATGTGGGATTCCCAACCTCAATACACAGGAGAAACATGAAGCGAACACGACAATCACTACACTAGAGGGTGAATGAGCTATTGGGGCGGTGGCGATCCTAGGGTGAAAAAGTTGAAGATGCGAACGATTGAGTAGAAGACTACTCCTGGCAAAGGTGCTTCTTATTTGTATGACATTCACTATTGGATTAGGAAAGATACTAGCCAAGACGAAGCTGGAACTGCTGCAATTAAGACAGTTAAACTTGATGCATCTCTTGGAGGCCGTGCAGTTCAACACAGGGAACTTCAGGCTCATGAATCTAACAAGTTTTTGTCTTATTTCAAGCCAGGCATCCTTCCACTCGAGGGTGGTGTTGCCTCTGGATTTAAAAAACTAGAAGAGAAGTTTGAAAATCGTCTTTATGTCGGTAGGGCCAAAAGAGTAGTCAAAACGAAGCAAGTTCCATTTGCACGTTCTTCATTAAATCATTAAGATGTATTTATCTTGGACACTGAAAATAAAATATATTAATTAAAGGGTGCTAACT